TTATTTTCTTAAGGGTAGAAAATACTTTACATATTAAATTTAGAGTAAACATCCTGTCTGATGTTGCAATGTGAAGAGATCTGTTTCCTTGATTCTGTTTCATTCTGACCCTCTGCTACTCATCTGATCATGCAATCTATACTCAACCATGGAACCAGATAAAACAGCAGCATCCAGCCTCTGTACTGATCGTCATTGTTTGCCAGAGGAATTGCATGAAATAAATACAGGTACTGTTGCTACTGCTGAGTAATCTCCTTATTTAATGAGAAAATAATATTGTAAATAACAAAGTTCATAGCTAGATACGTTTAGAGGAAGAGTTAAAAATCTTTTGTCTTTGTGAATGAATTTACAATTTTCCAGCTGAAAGGGATTTAAGTTTCAGACAATCATTGTTTGATAGGTAAATATTTACAGCAGAGTTAGATTTAACATTATTTGAAAAAATGTTGACTTTGTGGCTATGAGATCTGCTTCACTTGTACTGAAGGAGTCCGTGCAATAATGTTGCTAAGAAAATTTATCTACCTAGCAAGAATTAGACGTTTCTTTTATTAAGATTAAATTCAACTCTAAGAAGGACATTTATAGGCATTTAAATTAATTTTTAAATGTCTACTTTATTTCTGCAGCCAGTGTTACTCCTAGTGTTATTAGCCATTATATTTCTACAATTACTACTCTACATGCTACTATTACTACTACAATAATAACACTTATTGCATGTTTATTGCTTCAAGCACTATGCTATTGACTTTATACACATTAACTTAATCCCCACAATATATCTATGAATAAATATTGTTATTATTTCTATTTGATAGATGAAAACACTAAGGATTAAAAAAGCAGAAAAAAATTGCCACATTTTACAGAACTACTACGTAATTGAGCCAATTAAATGACTTTCTTACAAGCCTAAAATGGGGACAAATTTTGTTTATGATTTCTAACATGCTTTTAATTGTATGTTTATTTACCATAAATCTATGTATAGATGCTTATATGGCTATATATAAAATTATAATTATTGCATGAAATTTTCTAATATATTTTCTAGAGTTTGGTGAAGAAAGCATAGCATACTCAGAAGTCAGAGTTCATGGTTCTTCAAATATTCAGGAGAAAAAGAAAAAGAAAAAGAAAAATGGTAAAAAAACAACATTTAAAACTCCACATTCCCTTTTTCGCTTTGATATTTTAATGAACTAGTCAGGAAAACAAATATTCATGGACTAACCTCTGAATTGGATTTCATCTTTCATACCAACACTTTTAAACTGGTCATAGTGACCTAACGTGCTGTGTTAAGAGCAAATTTGACACAACACTGTAAAATGACTATTACTCAATAAAAAAAATGTTAAAAAAAATAGAGCAAATGAGAATGAACTGACCATTTCATTTGAATAATGAACAATGGCTTAAAGTGAGGTACCACAGCCACAGAATAAAGGATGTTTCATATATACTTTTCTGATCTGATATTTTAGCTTCGCAAAAAGTAACAGCTCTTTTAAGGCTACAGTATTTCTAAAAACAAAACGGAGCTTGTGAAGTATGTCCGAATAAATGACATATCAGAATTGTCACAAAATATCTGTCAGGGCCAACAGCTAAAGTAGGTGTTTTATTCTTAACCTACTTCTGCTGCAAAGATGGGAGAATTTTGTTTTTTAATTGCAGCAGAGTGATGAATTAAATTCCTAGTAAGATTTTTGAAGTGCTCTTTTGTAATCACAAAATTCCTTTAACAGAACAATTTGTTAGTTCAACAACATTCCTACATAAAACTATTCATATGTCCCCTGGCTATTCCCAAATCTTCAAAATAATTATTAGAGTCTTCCTCGCAGGCTGAGGTATATGACAATGTGGTACTCCCATGAGCTGAGATATCAGTCCAAGTTAAATTATGAATATTCCTAACCAAAATCCCTTCTAATCCTAACTCTTTAATCCTGTTTCCATTGATCATCATAATAGCTTGCGTCTCTCTTTGGGCAGAGTCTCTGTGGTGCCTCGCTGCAGTGGCGTTTGCCTTGCTTTATTTAATCGTTCTGGCAGTCGCTGCAGTGATGACAGCTAAGGGTAAGAATTTTTCTGAGTTTTTCATTAATTTGCTTAAAGTTACTAGACTATGATTTTTTTAAGCATTTAAAATTCATCCTAAGGGTCTCCTCAAGTTGTTTTTCTCATTTGTTATTTTAATTACATAAGGTAATTTCATCAGTTCAGTTTTTGAATTATCAACAGTAGCATAGATCCAGGTGATCTTATCAAAGACGCCAGTGGATAGCTGAGTGTTCTGATAAAAGTGAAAAATGACAGCAGCGTTTTGTATCTTACTATATTGTTATTGACATGAGATGCAATAAAATTTGAAAATATTTATAGAATTTATTGGTTGGGCAATTAAAAATTAATTGTAAGGATAACAAGTCAGGTAATTTGAAAGAAAGAATCTAATAGAAGAAATAAATGATGGTGAACAGGGACTCATCATAAAATAAAAAAGTTATCAAGATATTGGACTGAGCCTATGAACTCAATGTCTTAATATTATAAAATAGATATAGCTTTTAAAAGAATAGAGTCATAAAATAGTACTATTAGAAAACCAGAAGTGTGAAAATTTCTTCAAATATAGAAAGTAAGATCATTTGTATTTACAAAGCAGAGAAAACAACTGCCCAAAACACATGAAGGATAAATTTATTCAAAAGGCATAAGTAGATCTAAATCAATTAGAATATAGCATAATATATAATTTTTAATAATAAAATAAAAATCTTGTTTAAATGTATGATTTCCTACAAAGATATATACGATGCTAAAAAGACTCAAGATGATGTAGAAAAATTGAATAAATATAACTATATTCTATAGGTAAATAAATAAAGTAGGTATCTATTTGGATACACAAAGATGACAATTTTTAAGAATGAACTTGAAAATACCTTACACAAAAAATGACTCCTAGACAAGCTGTTTAGTAGCTAGCACAATATGGAAGATTCCTACCCAAATTCATGAGGTAAGCATAGAATTATTCCAAATTATTTTCATACATAGGAAAATATTTTAGGACGATGTCCCTTACAAACATAGAGGTAAAAATCCTACATAAAAGACTTAGCAGAATACAGTATTGGACTGAAATAATACTACCAAATTTTGCTTAAAATCAGGGATGGGTTTGTGCATTTATTTACCAGGAGATTTGACAATATATAGGAGAAAAGAAATAACTACGAGCAGAAGGAAACATACTGAATTTGATTAAGGGTATTTGTAAGAACTTTCACCAAATATCATCTTTCAGAATAAAAAATTAAAATCATTTTCAACAGATTCATGAGGACGAGGATGACTGATATAATTACTTCAATTCAGCATTTCTTTGGATGTCTTGGGCAAAAAAAATCAATAATTCAGGAAAACTTTTTTAGGTATAAATATTTAAAATTAAATACTGAAATTATATGTAGATGATGTACTTTCTGACCCCGATATTCCAAGAAAATCTACTGAAAAATAAAGCAATCGTAATGAAAACACTTCAGTAACGAAGGTGGATACAAAATAGAGTTTCGTTATATACCACCAAGAGCTAATGTCCAACATCCAGGTCCACATTTTAAGCCTCTCACCTGACACTTCTTCAATATCTTGAAAAACACCTAGCCACAATGTTTCTAAACAGGCTGTCTTCCCAGCCCTGATCCTTACCAGCATCAAGAAAAAACATCAGATTCTTTAATACTGTTGTCTCTCTTGGCAGCTGATGTCTGAGGAGATGAACCCAGGAATTGTCTGTGTTATCTGTCTCTGCTTATGCCAGTTTAGTGAGTGAGTGCCCTTCTCTACCCTTGCACTTCTGCTCATCCAACCCAGCCCAACTCTTTATATATCTACATATCTTAGTCCACTCCTCTAATCAATTTCCCCAGTAATCTCTTCAAAATGTAAATTTTATAAACTCACCATGCCTTCACTTAGTTTCTTAATACTCTAAAATTCAATATAATTTTTAAAAATCCTTAACATGGTTTGTAAGGCGTAAACTCTAGTGGAACGTTGAGGAAGACAGTGGAAAGCGAGAACTAGTGGCAAAGAGTTAGTAGAATCTTATAAAAGTTCTACATAAAAATAACGAAACTCTTAGCAAGGAAAAGGTCATGGTACTGTGAAGAAGGGAACGGGTATATGAAGCATTGACGTGATAGAATAAATAGTACTTCGTGACAATTTGGATGTGTGCTATGTCAAATCTCTTTGCTTCGAAGATAGCTTTGTTCATTATGTCCTCACTGTCCAGATTTACTTACTGCACCAATCAGATGTGGAGACTTGCAATTATTAAAACACCAGTCATTACCTCATAAATGTCTGTCATAGGTAACAAATTCATACTTTAATTTCAGTTATTTGCAAATGATCATCTCCAATATATTCTGTAGTTAATAATTTAAAAATGGATAAATTACTTTCAATTTTTTAAATCTCTGTTTGATTTGCATTCTCAAATGTTCACAAGTGATGTCTTAAAATAAATTTTCTTTTGCAAATTTTATAAATTTCAGTTTTCTGTCTAGAAGAGATTCTGAATACAGAGGAATCCAAACACCAAAATACTACTGCACATTGCAAAATAATATAGCAAAGCAGAAGGTATGTACTGGATTGCAATGAAAATCTTGATATCAGTGTAAACTGTTTAAATATAGATGTATATATACAATTAATACATATAAGATCAAAGTTAGTAACTATAGTGCACTTAGCAAAATTCTCATATATCATGGACTTGAGGTTAGGGAGGATAATTGAAAAAAATACAAAAATTATAATACACAGAGCTACTATGGGTGATGAAGTTATCTTCATGTATGCACTTTTTGTTTGTCAAGGTAACGTCCTTCTCTGAAGAAAACAGATATTCTATTTCTGCTGGAAATAAAATCTTGGCAGCAAGGAAACTGTTCTGAAGCACTGAGTTCCAGTCTTAATCAAGACAAACAGCAAGGAAGAATTGGAAACATGTGGCAATAAATTCCTTCCTACGTTTTCCTATACAGAAAATAATTACAGAGACGTTTTAACACTTTGTGTTTACTCACGTGTGCTAAACTCAACATATTATAATAATTGGGGATCTCTTAATCAAACCCAAAATACGGGCTTAAAAGATTATGTGATTTTTAAATTGTAAATATATTTGCGTATAGAAGTAAATGCTAATATATTAAAATTTCAGACCTTGGTAAATAATTGGGGGGAGGGAACATATAGAACATACAAACTAAAGGGTACTCAGTCACAACTGGCACTTTAAAAATACCTAACATTTATTGACTGCTTCTAATATTCAGGATATTGCTTTAGTGTATCATAAGGCATATACTGCCCCAGTGCTCCTATGAGACAGCCCTAGTATGATTGTTGTCATATTAATAAAGAAACTGAGGCCCAGAGAGGATGTGAAAATTTTCCAAAGTTGTATAACTAGTAAGAAATAGAAACATGATTTAAGCCAAGATAGTTTCACGCTAAAAGGCATGCATATAACCACTATGCTGGATTAAAAAAATCACATCCAATCATGTTACAAGAATATTGCTTCTTTAGAAATAGTCAGGACTGCAGATTTGCATTTTTTTCCTCTGGATATATCTTTCAGAAAGGAACACATGAGAAAAAGAACTTTCAAGAATAAAATATTATAATAGCTTTTCATAAAGAGTGGCTATTTCTATACTAACTATCCTCTGAATGATGAAAAAATAAAGAGATTAATAGAAGTGATTTTTTTTCCCCTTTAGTAGACTCCAGCAAGTTTAAAGAATATAGGTCTCCTTTATATCTTAGTTCTCATCCATTATGTGACTCTTGCCTCTGTGTTGTTTCTATTTTCCCCATCGCATACAAGGTCTGTTATTTCCTTTAATAAAGACTTCAGTCCATATCAGCAATGGGAAATTGATGGCACGTATGTTGATAATTTCTATATGACGATCTTGGAAGACACTCTTCATGATTACAGCATCCTTCCCTACTAAGGCTGGACTCCACTCTGAACAATCTTCAACAAGCACACCTGAAAGCCTTCCTGAGCTTCACTGCTCCCATCTCATCTACACACTATGCTTCAAACCGAACTTGTAAATACAGATCATCAGTGAACTCTTTCAGGAAAAGCAAATAAGTACTGTATATAAAAAGTAATAATGAGTTTGCTGAGGTGATGTCTCATAGTGATCTATTACCTCAAAGTGTGCCTTTGTAAATCACGGTTTACCCATAATCTATAGTGGAAAAAATAATATCTGTGAATGTTCTAAAACTGATGGAAGACATCAGACTACGTTTTGACAAAGCACTATGAACCCCAGGAGGGTGAACAAAATAAAAACAAAGTTATGTGTGTCATATGTAAAGGCTAAAAACAAAGACAAAGAAAAAGCTGAAAGGCAGACAGAGAAATACAGGCTTTACATTTAAAGAAGCAATTGGCAGCTAACCTGTAAAAAGAAAACATGAGAGTCATATACTTACTGACAGACAATTGCTATTACTAAAACTCAATCCCCGGAGAAAAGATTCTCATTATATGAGAGTCATATGAGGATATAATCGTATTCCATAGGTGAAGTAAATATCATTTAAGATTGGTAGAGAAAAAAATTCATTACCTTAGGTCTGCACTAAGGATATACTATAATATTCTTTAAGTGTAAGAAGATAATCCCAAATCGAACCTACAAGATTCAGGATAAAGGGCAATGAAACAGGTAAACATGGGTGGTATAAACCTAAATGAATAGTGACTATATAAAACCATAATATTAGTATCTATAGTTTTAAATTATATAAGCTTGAAGTACACTGTAACTGTTGCAATTAAATTAAAAGGGGGATAAATGAAATTAATTAAAAGAACCCTAGGTTATTGAAATAGCTATGAAGAAGTAAAGCAACTGTTTATCTTGGACATGAATAAGTCAACCATGCATTTTGTGGTTT